CACATTATAACTCCTTCTCACAGTATTAGAATAAAACTATATGTGAACATACTCTCAACTCGAACTTTTAATTCATCGAACTATAGTAAGCAGTTAATAAGCATATGCATGATTCTATTTATCGAAAAACTTGATACTAAAATGATGTTTTATGAGAAAAATATTTTTCAAGGTTTCCAACTAAAAAAAATATGTCAATAATTTGTGCTTTTCTCTTTTCTGTACATGAATTTTTCGCATTTCTTTCGATTCGATGATCAACAAAAAAAATCCGCCTGTATATCTTATAATCAACATTGGATGTAGAAACAGTTGTCGACATGTTTCTTCATTACGATCTTTTTTTTTTCTTGGCATAATTCGGTTTCATTGACGAAACATCTATACATATCTCAAAATAAAGTGGCGTATTTGTAAAGTTTACGAACAAAACTATGCACAACGTAAACGAAAACGAACGAGAGAATGAGAAAAAGAATCTATGTTAAGTATGCAAACAGTAACACAATCAGATTGTATAGAACAACAACTACCAAGAAAAAAAAAGAAAACGATAATAATAATAATAATAATGTTTAATCATTAATACAGTTAAGATGTAAGAAATAATCTTTGAAGTTTATATAAAAATATACGTATATCTATTGCCATAAATAAAAGCATCATATGTCTAAACAATCATGTAACTAAATCTCTAATTATTCATAGCATAGATTCTTTTCATCTGTTTGTTATCACTTTTGATTAAAATGAAAGAGTTCATCATCTCGATTGATATCTGACAGGTGTGCAATAAAAAAAAAGTCGATAATAAAACTAAATGCATTGTTCAAATATCTATCATATTTGCTTGTTATTCGTTTCTATTCACTTTCGAAGACGGCTCAAAAGAATATATGTACAAATATAATAAATAATGAAGATCTATACCAATTAACATCAAGATTGGAACCAATTATGAATTCATATCAATGTTATAATGAACTTCAACACAAGGATGATGCTATCAAGTAATTATTTAAAAAGAAAAAATTCTTTTTTAGAATATAGAATAATGTCTTTGTTACAAAAAGAAAGAAGACATTCAATCTTTTCTTTTTTTTTTCTTGCACATATTTGTTACAAAATGGAATTGTTTTTTTTTCTCTCTTCCTTCTTTTCTTTTATCACATACTCATAGGAACATAAAAATAAGTAATGATAATAAATATAGTTCACATTTAAATTGATCGAAGGCTATTCATTTTGTGTATGATATCCTATTTCAAGATTTGAATGATGGATCATAAATGTAATCCAATACATATTACTTTTACATTTATGTCTAGTGAACAAATATCTTTGTTCATGCAAAGATCTTATTCGAATAGAAATAATATAAAATTGTTTTGTATATGAGACATACATATTTTGTCATATTGTTAAATAACGAAAGACAAAATGTTTTATACACTTGTGAATTTTTTTTTCTATGTTGATTCAGAGTGAGTAGTTGTTTATAGATTGAATAAATACTACTGTTTTTCTTCTTTTTTTTTTCTATGATTTAGAGAATGTTTTAACGATTTGCAATCAACATTACAAGACATCGACATTTGTCAGCAACCATTCAACGATTTATATTGTACAACAACATCATCTTTTTGTAATAGTGATATTCCAATTCCATTATCGCCATCATCTTATTGGTTATCAACATCTGAAAGAACAAATAGATCAAAACATTTTCTTGATTTACAATCTGAACAAGAAAGTGATTTTGAATTTTTTCTTCATCCATCTATTCCTAATTCTTCTCATATAAGTGTTCATGTCAACGGAGTAGCTATACCAATGCGTTCTATTTATAGTACAACTCGTCCTTATCGATCTTCTCGTGGACGTAGTGTACATTGGAAAGATGAAATTGTTCATCCATCTAAAAATGAAAATTATTATAATCGATCTAATTCAACAAATATTAAAAAAAATGTTTCACGTATATCACTTAATACTAGTTTACCATATCATACTAAACTTAATATTCGTATTCAAGTTAATCGATTAAATTGTGATGATTTTAATGAAAATAATCATATTAAAGCAAAAGCTACAGTTCAAAGATTAAATCCTCAATATGATCATCAACATTCTGAAGCATTACAACGAGCGTATTGTCAACATTATTTAATATCATCATCAAATGAACGTATGGTAACAAAAATAAGAACAAATATACCAATACCATATGAGAAATCATCACCATATCGTCACATTTCAATACCTATTTCATTACCTATTGATCAACGACTTTTTCTATATATTCAAAACGATGAAATTTTTGCTAGATGTTAGATTTTTTTTCTCTTTTTTCTTTTAATAAATATATCAATAAATAAGATTTTTCTTTTTCTTTTATAAAATACAATCCAGTACTAAGATTGAACATTTTGCTCGTCATCTTTCACTATAAAAAATAATAGATACCAATTCTTTCGATCTGTTGATAAATAGCAAAATACTTTTCCAAGCTCTAACATGATTTATAGGGAATGTTGAAATATAGGAAATATATATAATAAAACAATTTTCGTATGATTAGCAAGAACAGCTATATCGTGTTTCACATTTTAATCCCGCAGGGATTATACTAACAACTTTTCTTTTTATTAAATACATAAATAAATCAATAAATAATTCATTCATATAGACTCGTTTTGTTTCGTTCTAGTCAATAGACCTCGATTTTTATTCTAATATCAATCACATATGTTTTGATTCTCATATAATTCAATATAACTTTACATTGAAAATTTCCATTTATCATCAAAATTATGTGTCGCTATATATTCGTATTTTTTTTCATAGTATTTCTTAATTATATTCATGCAAAATCAACAAATACAGATTTTTATACATTTGCTCTTTTATCTGATATTCATATTGGTGATACAGCTGCGAATGCAATAGGTAGAGCACGTTCAGCAGTTGTTAAAATAAATCAACTTGCAGCAAATGTAACAACAAATTTACAAGCTGTTTTTATTACTGGTGATTTAACTAATTCTGCTATGCCTTCTCAATATACAACACTTCGTGATATTTTAAATAATTTAACTATACCATATTATCCAATAATTGGTAATCATGATCAATGGTTATATAATTCAACATGGGAAGATATAGCACCTGTTGGTGATCAATTTTTTGCTGCAACATTTAAAGATATACTTAATCAACCCAATATAATCAATTATCCAAATGGAACAGTATGGAATCCAATACATTCATGTCAATCATGGTTTCAAAATTATCGTCTTCAATTGCATAATAATGTATGTTAATATTTCTTTCTTTTATTTTCTTTATTTTTATTTTAAATTTATTTAAAAAAAATAAAATAAAAAGATATTCATTTCGCTTGATTGGAATAGTCGTCATCATGCTGCTGCTTCACTTGGTTATAAAGGATCAATGCCTGGTGCTGATTTATATGATTTTAATGGTGGTACATTTTCATGGCTTGAAGAACAATTAAAACAACTTGAAAAACAATCTTCAACTATTATTCTTTTACAACATCATCCATTTCGTGCACCATTTTATATTCCAGGTGAAATATATGCATTTAGCGAATTGAAACGTTTACGTATTGAATATTTATTACGACAATATACATCATTAAATTATTTTGGTGTTTTTGCTGGACATTTTCATATGTGGTCTGATGGAAAAGCATTTGATAATATGCCAAAATTTCGACAATTTGAAACAGATGCTTGTAAAGTTGCACAAGCTGTTGCTTTAGTTACAACAAATATTAAAACTGGTGAAATTATGAAGATTGAAAAGATGTATGGTGATGAACCAACAAAACCATAGAAAGTTATGAAACTAGAGCTTTTTTTTTCAATAATAAATAAAATATTTTTTCTCCAATGAATTTAAACAATACGTAGTTTCCATATCGAACAAAAAAAATGGTATGATGATATGAAAAGTATGAGACCAGTGATATTGATGTGTAATTAAAATATTGTAAATTTTTCAATGTGAAAAAATCATAAATCTTATTTATCGCTTTTGCTTTGCCTTTGTTGTATTTGCAAATAAGAAAAACAAAATATTCAATAGATTTTTCCAGTTATTTTTGTTTCATCAGTCTCTTGAAATACAGTCAAAAACTTTCCATAATGAGAACCTACTATGACATCATTGAATATCAAATTTATCATGGAAATTTTTCTGTTTCTTGTGTTAGATTTCTAATAATGTTTCTTCATACATATACTTTCTTTATTACTACTTTTTGGACGTATTAATTTAAGAATTTCAATCGAATCAACTTCATAGTCTTGCTACAAATGTACTAACATACACGAACAAAAGCAATAATAATTAAGAGTTTTTTTTGTTCGTGTTCATCCACTTTCAAACAATTTTCGACTAACAGCCTGGGAACGAAACAGTGTCGGTACTGTACGGTTGAATAAATAGCTGAACTATTTATTTATAAGTATATACTGTATAGGGTAGTTACTTATTTTTTTAGTACTGGTCCATACAGCATTTACTCCTATTCATATTTAATAGTAAATCGGCAAATACGTATTTTTTCCAGTGCACAACGAGATGGAATGAGACAAGACTGATATTGTGTATCGCGTCCTCCTCAATCCAAAATAAAGTATAATAATATAACTTCTTATCTTTTATTTTACAGTGGTTGTTACAGCCCTAGTCATCAGCAATTATCGAATGGAATAGTGAAATTATTATATTATAGTTACAAAGTCACCATAGAGGCCAATTACTAGATTCTACATGAATATCAAAAGCAATATTTTCAGACCATCTCTTGAAAGTAGTTATGAGAGAATTGGATCTGAGTGACCAGTTTTCCCTTTGACTAATACTACATTTGCTTTCATATTTTATAGATTAACATGAGCAGGACGACATTATCAGACGAAATATTGTGTTTTGAGTATATGCAAAAAATTATTTTTCTGCTTTCTTTGTTGGGAGTTTTGAAAACCATCGAAAGTGCGGTATCGAAGCAAATTTTTTACTAGCAGTTCAAGACTTTAACGAAATAATTATCAGACCAATAGTAACTTAAATAACATTTAGGCTATGTCGCTCTTCTCTCTCGCCAACTCAGACATAAGGACTAACATAAGTTAGAAAGAATCGAAATTCAACCCATGAAACCTTTTTTTGAATCTGATAGGATGGTTTGGGTGAGTTTCAGGCGGATAGCATTCGATTGATTCGAATAAAGAGAGACAATATCTACAAACCAAAGAAAGTCTTATATTTGCGAGAGAGTAGCCAATTCTCTTTTCAAACTGTAATGGAAGAAATCTTTTTATTAATAACAGTTTATTTTTTATGGAATCTTAAAATGAAACCATTTTTTTCGAAGAACTTGAACTTTTCTCTTTGAAAAACTAAGAACACAGTTGTCTATTTTGCACATTTACGCTATCGAAATTCAAGAAATCTGCTAAACTGCAATTGAGGACAATTTTCTGGGAGAAAGACTGAGCGTATATGAATAAATGAAGTCTCAAATAGTCGAATTATATGTTCTATTGCATTAGTTTCAAAAATTATTCACAAAATATTGAATATACTCCCGATTTCGAACGAAATGTAGATAATAATATATTTATTTTCCAAAAAAATACAAAACACAATGAATAGATATTTGCTTTTCGAAAATTTGATACAAATATACCGGAAAACTAGAGTTCATTTTGCATTGTTAGTTCGTGCATCTGATGTTTCTAACCTTTAAGTTGGTCTGAATAGCATCTAGCGCCAGGCTGTGGTTTTTCGAGAACAACACCACCAAAACCACAATGAAATCCTGGACAACATTCTTTAGTTGTGTTATAGCACGATGCTCTGTCTTTAAGACATCTAACACACTTTGCTGTTGTTTTGTTTACTGCTTGTAAGATATATCCTTCACAACATGTAATTGTTGTGTCTCTAGAGCAGCTGGTGTGCGTATACCATCTGCCTACGACAGTATTTCTTGCTTGAATCATGATTATCATCAATATCATAAAGATTATTGTAGAATTCATTCTAAAACAGATAATCAAATGCAAAATTTTCTTTGATGTAAGTTTATACAATATGGTGCAGTATTTACGTTACGATAATATATCAACGTAATGAAATTGCGTCTGTATTGAATAAATATACAATGAGTAAAACAGAGATATATCTATGCTTTTTATAGTCTTTTGAATAAAAGTAAATAAGCCTATACGAAACTATCAGGAAGAAAGAGAAGGATTAATTTGTATTGGCGTACGAATAAATAGGTATAGATTACTCTCTCATATAAGCAAATATATCATGAAAAGGAAAAAATAAAGGAGTGTTTGTTTTTTTTGTGACACATTTTTTTGTTTTGTCATGGACAATCATTATTTAATCGGTTCGTGTTAAAGTTTGTCTATGTATAGACACACTATTGACGTCACAAAATTAAAGATAATGAAAACATTAACCAAACCCAATAACCATATCTGTGTTTATATAATGTTGGAAGCAAGATCTACAAGAGTAAAAGCCAATCAAAATTTCAAAAAGATCAATGTCACATACCTTCATTTGTTAGCAAATCAAATAGATAATTTTCTCTATAGAGGAAATAATGTCAATATCCAACTATTAGATCTTAAATGAATTTCAATTTCTCATGAGTTTAATCATGAAAACTGTACATAAATTCAAAAATTGCATAACATGTTAGTAAATAATTCTGATCCACTGGAAAAAAAAAAGAGAGAATCCAACATTCAGTTAACAAAAAAAGATTATAACTTAATTTCTTGACTGAGTTGACTAGCAGTACTCCATGCTCGTAATCTCGTTTTAGTTTCATTGCCTCATCTACGTCATTTAACTCTTCAAAGTTACTTTTGCTGGGGCTTTTCATTTATATTAAATCAAATTCCTAATCTTTATTCACTTAATGTCAAACTTTCATATGATAATTATCCAAAGTGAACGGTTAACATATCATTATGGCCCCATCTAAGATGGCTCATCCTAAACATTCATGGTGTGTATAATTATTTGAAAATTGTAAATATATATATTCTTTGTTTTGTAAATTAAGGTAAAAAAAAGACCATGATTCATGCAGAACAATTTTTATCTAAAATATCTAATCTATATTATTTCGAACTTATTGCACAAGGTTATCTGGATCTTATTGATCGCCAAAAATGGAAATTACTTGTTTCACATTTGACTAAATTCAACCTTCGATTGAATCTTTCATGTTCATTACCAGATTTTTCCAAAGAAAATATTCTTGATTCATTTTGTTCACTATTTTGACTTGAACAAAAACGCTGATCTGTTGCCTATGATGATCCATATTCGCAAAATATTTTTACAGTACCTCGTTTTACGTCAAATATTCTCGTATGTCCGAATATTTATTAGCCACCAATATGCACATCGTCCAATTTCTGTTTCGATAAATATATCCATTCAAGTTGATTTGTCATTATTTAATCCAATTATTTAACGTTTTATCAATGTCACATCACTCGTATTCAATATAAAAGAAACCGACATCAATCTTATATCGACTTCGTTTCTCGATCTCATTGAACATATGCCTCACTTACATTCACTTTCACGTCAAGATCTCTCTATATTAGCTGGCTTATCACATGATATCGCCTTCGAAGCGATACGAACTTTACACGTACGAAACAATTTTGAAAAATCTGAAAGTGAAATCCACTATTGATTGGATCTAAATCGATTATGTAGTTTTATTAATTGATCAATTGCACAATTTCAATTCTATTATCGCTCATCGTCATTGACGCGTTTCTCACGTCAAAGTTTTTGCTCGAAAGACATTTCATCATATGTGAGAGTGAAATGAGATGGTTGCATGTTTTATGAGACAGTTTAATGATATCTTTGAGAATAATAAGTTATAATTGAGTACGAAAAACTAATCGATCTTTATCGAGATGATAATTTTTAATTTCATTGAGCGAAAAGCCAGTTCAGACCACTTGAGTTTCTGAATAGCGTTTTAAATTTCATAGTAATAATCTCCTTATCAATAAAAAGAAAAATACAAACACAATCATATAAAAATTGTCTTCGAAGAATTTCTTTTATTTTCGAAGAAATTTGTGTACGTTGGAAATTTGTTTTTATCTTATATTTTTTCTGCTTCAGTGGGACTCTAATTTGTTCTCAAATATATCATTAATATATATTTTCTCATTGTCTTTGCTTTTCTATTCTTTGCTTGTTATTGAATATTTTGATTTCAATTTTCTGACAATCAAAATTCGTTCAAATGGTATTCGTCACTAACATATTGTTTGCGATAGATCATATTGATGAAATATCCGATACGTCAAAATGTTTTTAGTCTCGCACATTTTGCATATAAAAAATATATATCAGCTCCAATGCTTTGACTAACTGTAAATTTTATCATGTCAAATAAGTCTTGAAAAAAACTCAATCTTATATCAATATCTATACAAAAATCAACATTTTTTCTACATAAGGTGTATTGATTTCAATCGTTCTTTCTCCAAAAAATCAGCTTTTAGGAAGCAAAATTATTTTTCGTTTCAACTTAGAAGAAGAATAAATATTTTTCGAATCAGATTTGATAGAAACTAGAGAGTTTCACACTTGAGAACAGGAGATAAAAGTGTATTTAATCATATATTAGCACTACGTGAGAATCACATGAGCCATTTTCTAATAGTCAACTATTGTAACTTTCTGCTGCACAATTAACCTTTTTCGGCAGAATAAGAGATAGAAATAAGTATTTTTGTAAACTTTATACTTTTACAACTAAAAAA